TCAATATTAAGGAAAATGCAAATTAAAATGGCAAATTAGCAAAAATTAAAGTGTGATCACATCTATTGATGGTGGTAATTGTGAGGAAAAGAGTACTCTCAAACCTTGGTGGTGGAAATATAACACTTTTCAGTTGTTTTGTAAAGGAATCTGTTGGTATCTTTTAAAAATATAGAAAACATATACCTTTGACCTAGCCATCCCATTTATGAGAATATATCCCTTAAAAATAAAATCAGAAAAGCATAGAAATTTATGTGCAATGATATTATTGCTAGGTTTTTTTCTTTTTTCTTTTGAGGAAGGGATAGCAAATACTCAGGAAGATTATATAGCATATCATAGAAGAATATGTGAAATATAAAATCTTACACTTCCTGTCTAATCTAGTCCAGACTACAAATAAAAGTGAGCAACTAAATTCAAGCACAGAATTGCCTGAAGGTAGTTTGTATCAATCTTACTTTCCTGTTATAATACTCTGACGTTGACTCATCAATAAATTTACTGTGGTGTTGAATACTAAAATATTTATGTCTTTAGGTATTTTTTATTCAGTGGCATGTCAGTCAATTAGCAGAAAGTGTGGGGATTAAAATATTCTTGTTTGTTGTTACTGTTAAAATATTCTAGTAGAAATTTCAAATCAACTATTATGTAGTCATCCTAAAAGCAAGATAAAATTTCAGAAAAAAGAAGGTAAAGAGCTTGCATCTTTTCCCTTGATTCTTTTGTAATAAGGTAATAAGATGAGTAAAAATATCATAGCACAATTTAGCACTGTTATATAAAATTAATGGGCCATCTTCACAGTGGCAGTGCTTGGAAGGTGAGAAAAGAAGTCAAGATCCTGTTTGGGAACATCAAGTATCTTTACCTCACTCTTAGGAATCTTGAGTTTTAGTTTGAAAGCACATGGCCGCATACATAGCAATTTCAACAACAGCAAGGTCATGCAAACCTGGAAGTTGGGCTTCTGGTTCTAAGTCCAGTACTTTTTCCATATTTTATCCCTTATACAGTCCTTATAATAATATGCTAATAGAGGCTATGTGATTATGTCATAAGAATCTGCTTTTCCTCTAATGGTAGAATGGAGTATAATATTGAATTGGGTTGACATTCTACTCAAGGCCAAAGAGAAATGAATGACATATACAGATCATTGTTAAATGTCTCATTATAAAATTCCAAGAGTCACCAGTGTTTGCATGTCTATTATGGACTAATCCCTTTATATTAAGTTACTTCAAATTTTTACAACTGTTAAAAGAAGATACTATTATCACCATTTTACACATGGTGAAGTAAGGCCTACAAGAGACTTGCCCAAAGCTATTTGTCCAGTAGTAGAGACAGGGCTAGAAAACAGGTCATTTTTACTATTCGGTCAATGTTGCTACTCATGTTTTCCATTTTGTTTAAAGTTTTATTTTGGAACAAAAAATATTCCACTTGGATTGTCACATTTTATTTGATTGTTTTGTATTTAGTGAATTGCTTTATAAATACAATTTCCTTAGTTTTCATAGTTAGCACCCTTTATGAAATGCAAACTATTATTTGACCCAGGTTTTGGTTAGAGGAATTGAGTCACAGAGCTGTTAAGTAACTGAGATTTCACAATAAGCCTGACAGACCAGGGTTTAAATTCTGGATCTCATGTTATCCAATTCAATATTCGAGTTTTGTTACTTATTGAGCAACCACTACGAGCACAGTTTACATAACATCTGATAGCTCTCAAATTGAGCTTCACAAATATATTTCAAATTTCAACTCATCAGTGACTCAGGATCAAGGACACTTAGATGCAGTTTTTTTGTGGCATTTCCCAGGGTGTACACAACCTGGAAGCTCTTCCAAGTGTGAGGAAAGGTTTCACACTGACAGATCCCAGTGTCTCTAAACTGGGCCACTGGGACACTCCTGGGACACTGCTGGGATTCAGGCCATGGTTTACTGACTGTGAGAATGCTGAAAAGACCAGGCACTAGGGCATGGTATGCTATCATAGGCACTCAAGATGAATATTGCCCTGGAAATAAGGAATCAGAGTAGCTTGTGGTTATAATTAACCAGAGTTACATGGTACCAAGAAACCATCTAGCAATTCCTTCCCCGAATCCCTCATTTTCTTAAGCATTTTTCTTTTTCCTCAACTAGCTTCCACTTAGGATTTGAAGATGGACAGAACCAAAGGGTCCTACTCTAATGCTGTTTCTGGTCTTCTTTGGAGGAATTTGATGCTGTTCTGTTAGATCTGAACATGCAAAGGCTGAGCTCACTTGATGATCTTATGATTCTCTAATATTTTGTTTCACTGTATTCATATGGGAAAGAAGGAAGAGAATGTTTTCCTTCTCTCTCCCCTTATTTCCTTGATTTTTTAAAAATATAAATATTATAGACTTCTAAGAGAGAAATGTGGCTGAAACAACCTGTTATTTATTGTCTTGAGAAAATTGATGTAACTTGTAGTCTTTGGACATTTATATTTAGTAGGAATATTTATTTAAGTGCATACTGTAGTTCCTTATCTTGCTCTTGACTTTTCTTGTCTCTTTTACTTTCCCATCCAAGTACTAACCAGGACCAATCCTGCTTAGCTTCTGAGATCAGATGAGATCGAGTGTGTTCAGGATGATATGGCTGTAGATGTTGTTTCTTTTAGTCTGCCAATATTTTCATGCTTTTTTTTCTTTTTTACAGGTATCTACTTCTCCTGACAATTATTCCTTTTCCATTTTTTTCTCTCTTCTGTATACCTTTCTTCATTTCTTTTCTTATATGTACCTCTTTCTTTGTAACTTAATATTTGATTGAATTCCCTTCTCCCTATCTCTCTTCCTTCATTCTATAAACCTTTTTATTAAATGCTTGCCTTGGACTAGGACTCTACACCCTGTACATCAATAATCCATGCCCTAAAGTTAGCTGTGTCATAATCATAATATCTAGATAACTACTGATATTTTTAAATTTAAAAAAATTTTAAAATTTTAACTGATTTAAATACAATGTTCAATTCAAATTTGAAAAAAAAAGGAAAACTAGTACTTTCAGCAACCTCTAGCTTTCTAATAATATATTAGAAAATTTTTCTCTTTTACAAAAGCCTGTACCTCAGTCTATTCATATAAGGCAAATCATTCTTTCTCTTTTTTTCTCCAAAAGATTTAGTTTTTAAAAGGGAAATGGAATTGAAAGAAAGAAAATATGGGGCAGGAGAGAAAAAATAAACTTGTGAGTTGTGTTGCTAATTACTAGGAGACAGGTACAGAGGATGGATATAAAAACACTGCAGTAAAGGCTTGAAAATGAAAGTACTCCTGGGAATCAAGGACTATTTCTCATAAATTCTAATGTTCTTTTGCAATGCCTAGAATGGTTGTGGCCACAGAGATATTCATTAGCTGGGAAAAAAGATGACAGGAGAGGCAGAGTGGATGGGACTGTTAGCAACCTCTGAGTGGAGGTTTTTCCAGGTTTTTGGTGATTGTTGGGAGAAAAGAATTTCAGGATGTACCATGTAAGCCAAGCAAGTGACAGCTTTTTTCATTGAAAGTAATGGCCGGGCATGGTGGCTCGCGCCTGTAATCCTAGTACTCTGGGAGGCCCAGGTGGGAGGATTGCTTGAGGTCAGGAGTTTGAGACCACCCTGAGCAAGAGTGAGATCCCCATCTCTACTAAAATTAGAAAAATTAGCTGGGCATGGTGGTGCACACCTGCAGTCCTAGCTACTCAGGAGGCTGAGGCAGGAGGATTGTTTGAGCCCAGGAGTTTGAAGTTGCCATGAGCTAGGCTAATGCCATGGCAGTCTAGCCAGGGTGATGGGTGACAAAAGAGAAAACAAGAAAGCAAAAGTACGCACTTGAAAAAGAGAGCAGCCAGGCTCAAAAAGGACAGCTTTTTGAAATCTTACTAATTAAGAGGAGGAATTTGCAAAGCTAAAGTATTGGCTTTTACAAAGAATTTGGTTAGTAATTTCTAGAATTGGGTTCCCTCCCATTTTTATACTTTATATGGTTGTCTCAGAACTGTCATGGTGATTTCAACAGTGGAGAAATTTTAAAACCACAATGTAAATGATGTTGTAATTAGCCAAAGTTCACGTAAGGTGATAGAGATAGCTGACCAGCTGGTTGAAGCCAGTTTTTGTCTGCAGTTATCAGCCCCTCTAGTTAGCTTCTGCCTGAGGATTATTTACTTTAACACCTGCATCCAATCTTCAAGCCCCTGCATCCAGTCTCAGCCCTGTCTCCTAGTCTCCTACTCTAACAAGAAAAGGATGCAGGTATGAGGATGGATGAGGAAGAAAGCCGTGCTGGTTAGGAGGAGGGGCAAGAGAAGTATGGAAAAGAGCTGCCTTGTACCCAGGCAGTCCAATGAAGATGCTTAAATATTTCAGGGGTGTGAATAGTGTTCTTTTATTTATTTATTGGCTAAGATATTATGTGATGTTATTAGGATATTATGGGGGCACAAACAGTTACATGAAATGCATTTGCCTTGCTCAAGCCAGGGCTGCAAGCATGTCCTTCCCTCATATAGTGAATAGTGTTCTTTTAGTTTCTCTTATTACCATGTTCGGAAATTTCATTTTGGGAAATTTCCTTTTAAAAGGGAGAATTTAATTGGAGGGAAGTACATTTTAGTATGTCGATAGCATTTGGGTTTGTGAAATGGGCCTATGGATGACCTGTACACATTTATATACCCATAAATATATTTTACTTTTTGATATGTTATAATTCTTACTTAATGATCATGGATGACATTTTAAAAACTAAAGAAAAATTTACATCTGAAATTTTAGCAATGTTGCTTTGACTAACTAAGTAAATTACATTTGAAATAATTGAGATGCAATGTTCAAAATTTTACCTGTGGTTAAAGCAATAGTGTGATACATTATTACATTTGAAGGAAGATGTACCTTTTGAATTCAGATTCAACATAATAAAAGTTCCTCTCTAATTTTCTATTTTTGACAATAGGATATCGCCAAGTTTGCAGAGAAAGACAATATAGTTCTTGGAGAAGGTGGAATCACACTGAGTGGAGGTCAACGAGCAAGAATTTCTTTAGCAAGGTGAATAATGGATTATTGGTCCAGTGAGCATTTGCTGTAAATATCATTCATGTAAAAAATTATAGGTATTTCTCTATTGCTTTATACTGTGTTTCTGGAATTGAAAAATTCCTGGGGTTTTATTGCTAGTGAGTTAAAAAATCACCTTTAAGAACTATATAGATAACAATATAGTATTCAGACTTGATGATGGCTTTTTCAAAGTTCCTGCCACCATTTTGGTGTGTGTATACTTGTTTGCTTTATGATGTGGTTTACTACAAAATGGGAAACTTGGGGGTTCTGCATAGTACAAGGAAAGAGAATATGTAAATTTCTACTCATTACATCATATATCTCCTCTTCCCTCAATGTACACACCTGCTTTAGGCTTCTGTTTATTAGATAAACATACCTTCCAACTTTTTCAGAAAAATAATTTTTGTAACAAAAATACGAATGCAAATGTGGTCATGTGGCTGAAATCTTTAAAGTAGAATAAATAGGACAAAAGCATCTAACATTGGGGGGGTGGGTAGGAGGTGACTGGGTAGAGGCATTCTTGGCCCAAACATTTAGAAGCTGTCAAATAGAAGTGCATATGGTTAAGTTACATAAAAAAAGAGAATTCTATGGTTAAACTTTAACTTTCAGTTTTAAAAATTATTGGTGACGTGGGGTGTCAAATGTCCCTCAAATTTTATTTGAACAAAATTCTTCTCACTTTGTTGCCAAAGTTGTTAATAAGGGATAATATTCTCCTACTAACATTTCTCCTGCTTCCAAAAGCTAAAACAGAAAAACATGAGCTGAGCACCTGCAACTGCCTGTTCTGGGTGTGTGTGTGTGTAATGTCAATCCCCACACAACGCTGCAAAGTAAGAATTGTTCCCCCTCACTTTACAGAAGAGATCATAAGCTAATTAAGGCTGTTAAATGTTAACTTGCCAAAAGCTACACAAGGAAATGGTAGAGTTAAAATTTGAACCAGGTCCTTTTTACTCTTTATACTAAACCATGCCTTGATCTTGCGGATCACTCTGTGAAGTAATAATTCAATAGATGTGGATAATTTGCAGATAAGGTAATGACTTCTAAATAAATGGAAGTTGGTTATTTTATCTGTGAGCCAAAGTAAGACTTATCTTAAGTATTCCATTTCATATTTCGATAAGACATAGCGTATGGCTTGTAGACATCAGGTGTAGAATTGAGCTTGTATTTACCAGTTTAAGATTTGGTTTTAGCTGAAGGTACCTACTGAAAATAATTGTCTATTCTTATTCTCATCAGATTGTGTAGTGTGTTGTCCAGTTTGGGATGATGAATATATTATTCCTAATTTCATAAGAAACTAGTCTTAGATGTTAGGAAGGGAGATAAGTAAGAACTAAGTATTGGGGAAGAAAGATCTTGAGGGTATATTTTGATGGGGTTCTGTATTTAGCTCTTGCATGTTGTCTTCAAAAATAATTCATACCATAAGCGATCTTTTAGACTTGACTTTGACTTTTTGCCATTCTTTTTTTTAAATTACTTCTCTTAATTATGGGTTAATTGATTATAAGTTTTTTCCCTACAAAAGTACTAAGAATTACATACATAAACACAGAATTCTATTTAGTTGGGATTGGAGTAGGGTTGCTAACAATCATACCTGAAACATTTAAATGTCGTGAAGAAATTATCTCATATCCGTTAATATGGAAACTATAGCTTCATCATATTACTGTTACAAGATCAACTTAATATAGATTTTATTTGCTTATAAAATTTTATTTTTTAACTAAAAAAGTAAAATAATATGGCTATAAATTTTATTGTGAATTATTAATACTTCCCTTGTTTGTAACTTTTATGAATATAGTACAGAGACAAACTATAAGAAGCAAAATGGAATATCAATTGTAGAGTAGTGGCATTTGTTGTTAACATTTAAAAATACTTTCACATAAATGCTGCAATTTATTAGCTGTCTCTGACATTTCACAGTTTGAAATAGTCTATTTCCTTCTTGTTTCCTCACCAAATGCAAGATCTTTGAGGGCAGAGACTGTGTAATTTTTGCTATTGTGTTGCCAGCACATAGCATGGTGCTTGGCTCTAAATAGAGACTATTGTTAAAACATTTTCTTTTTTTTTAATGTAATATTTTAAAGTATATGATATGGTGCATTTCAATTTGCAATTTTTGCTAGCTTATGCCACTTACAATTAGCAAAAGCACTTCAGCAGTTCTTGAAGTACTGTGGAACTCACAGAAATCATCCACAACTTATGTCTTTATTTCCCATTTAAAATCATCTACACTATAAAAGACACATGTATATAAGAAGTTTCTAATGGTACTACTTCTGCACTATGTTACGAATAGGGTTATGGATACAGTATGGATGTGGTGGCCATACTATAATGCGTGTAGTGGGTTGTTTAAAAAACAATAGTGAGGAAATCTAATTTAATTTCCATTTTCCTTTTAGAGCAGTATATAAAGATGCTGATTTGTACCTCTTAGACTCTCCCTTTGGATACTTAGATGTTTTAACAGAAAAAGAGATATTTGAAAGGTATGTTCTTTGAATAACTTATAATGCATATGCTAAAAGACAAGATAGAAAGACTATACCTTCACAGACTGCACATTACCTCTTGAGAAGTATTTCCACTATTTTAGTGACTCAGTATAGCAGAATATAATGCAGTATTTATTCAAATTGGACCTGCCTTTCAAGGCCAAGATTTAAGATCTCTTCCATTGAAACCTTTTCTGGCTACCTCATGCTAGACCAATTTCTTCCATTGCTATCCTGTTAAAACAATCACTATCTATGTAGTTTTACAGCCTGGTTGCCTTACGACATGTATTATTTTCATTGGTTATACTTAAATTTTTGAAACTTTTTTTGTGTTAGTATTTTATTCTATCTCCTCCTTAGATAATAAACTTCTTAAGGAACTAAACATGCTAACCGTTTTCATGGTTTAATGTAGGTGAATGCTGAGACGACCCATCTCCCTCAGTAACTCTGTGGAATCCTCCTCAGTCATACACAGCTCAGGAGTCACATTTTCTTGGAGCTTCCATTAGGGCTCAATGCCTGTGAAGTTCCTAAGAGAAAAAGTTAATTATTATGATTTGATGTCAAAGTTTCAAAATTATGTCTTGGACTATAAAGTAGTTCACTAGAAGAATAGTCATTATACTCCCCTGGAAATTAAGATTTCAAAAACAAGAATATAAACATATATATATATGTATAAAATGGCTACATTGTTCCTAGAAACACCTTTCCTAGAATTTAGTTACATCTAATACCCAAGATGCTATTTTTATAAACCTGTGACTGTGATAAGTAACTTCTTAGCAATATAAACTTTGCTGTGCTTACATGGTTGTGTTTAGTATGTTACAGCTGGGGTCCCCAACCCTTGGGCAGAGGACCAGTACTGGTCCGAGGCCTATTAGGAGCTGGGTCGCACAGCAGGAGGTGACTGTGGGGAAGGGAGCGAAGCTTCATCTGTATTTACAGTCACTTGTCATTGCTCAAATCACTGCAGAAGCTCTGCCTCCTGTCAGATCAGCAGCGGCATTAGATTCTCATAGCAGCTCCAACCCTACCGTAAATTGCGCATATGAGGGATCTAGGTTGCACATCCCTTATCAGAATCTAATGCCTGATAATCTGAGGTGAAGCTGAGGCAGTGATGCTAGCTCTGGGGAGTGGCTGCAAATACAGATTATCATTAGCAGAGAGATTTGACTGCACAATAAATTTAATTGCTTGAATTACCCCAAAACCATTCCCCTATCCCTTGTGGAAAAATTGTCTTCCATGAAACTGGTCCCTGGTGCCAAAAAGGTTGGAGACCACTGTGAGTATAATCTAGAATAGTGCCTCTTTCTATACAATATATGTTTTAATGCCTAAAAAAACCTAATCTCCCTTACATGGTTCTAGTCATGATTTACTTCTAGACTAGAGGAAAATTTTATTAAAGGAGGGTCAAATTTATTATCCAGTTCTCAGTTGTAGTCTTTTTGTTTTCTGTTTTAACAAATCAGATTAATCTTAATATAAGCTTTTGAAAACTAAATTGGTAGTCAACCTAAAGTGTAAAAGGAAATTAATGGAAAATTTAAGAACAAGAAAACTCTGACATTTAAAAACATGTGGAAACATAGACCTCTAGAGACCTTAAATATCATCTAACAGTTCCCTAATTATCTAGATGAATAAACCAGGACCCAGAGGGTAAACAATTTGCTCAAAGTCAAAAATCTACTTAACATCAGAAATTTAATTTCATTCTAGGTCTGTTAACATTCAGCTTTACAACATAGCATGCTATTTCATGCTGTAATAATTCACGAGATACCAAATTAATTACTATATTTACTTGTAGAATCATTTTAAGTATAATAATAAAATTATATAATAGAGATTTTATACAATAAAATATTAATACAGTGTTAAAATATTAATACATGTTAATGTAGCACATAATAAAGTATTAATAAAATTAATATTTTATTTATATCTTTTTATATTCTTAAAGCTGTGTCTGTAAACTGATGGCTAACAAAACTCGGATTTTGGTCACTTCTAAAATGGAACATTTAAAGAAAGCTGACAAAATATTAATTTTACATGAAGGTAGCAGCTATTTTTATGGGACATTTTCTGAACTACAAAATCTACGACCAGACTTTAGCTCAAAGCTCATGGGATATGATTCTTTTGACCAGTTTAGTGCAGAAAGAAGAAATTCAATCCTAACTGAGACCTTACGCCGTTTCTCATTGGAAGGAGATGCTGCTGTCTCTTGGAATGAAACAAAAAAACAATCCTTTAAACAGACTGGAGAGATTGGAGAAAAAAGGAAAAATTCTATTCTCAATTCAATCAACTCTTTAAGAAAATTTTCCGTTGTACAAAAGACTCCATTACAAATGAGTGGTATTGAGGAGGATCCAGACGAGCCTTCAGAGAGAAGGCTGTCCTTAGTTCCAGATTCTGAGCAGGGGGAGGCAATCCTGCCACGAAGCAATGTGATCAACACTGGCCCCACGTTTCAGGGACGAAGGAGGCAGTCTGTTCTGAACCTGATGACACATTCAGTTAACCAAGGTCAAAACATTCACCGAATAAACGCAGCATCCACACGAAAAATGTCCATTGCCCCTCCGGCAAATCTGACTGAAATGGATATCTATTCAAGACGGTTATCTCAAGAAAGTAGCTTGGAAATAAGTGAAGAAATTAATGAAGAAGATTTAAAGGTATGTATAAATTATTTGGTTTTTTTTTCCTTCCACAGAGTATAATTGAATAGAATGCAATATGTAATATGTAACAAACTTATACAAACTATGGTATTGGATGGGGTTTAAGATTTAGAAAGTAAAAAAATCCATAAATTATGCAAGCAGCTTCAGAATGTAAAATAATCAACTATTTGCTTTTGCAATGAACATATCTCTTCCCATAAAATGTATTGTAAGCCAAAGCAAGGGCTTAGTATTGGGTCTTTTCATAGGCCAGTGATAATCATTTCTATAAATTAGAAAGCATCTGGTTTTTACTACCATGAGCCCTCTGTGGGATGAGGTAGAGTATAAATAAATATATAGACAAATAGTAGCCTCAGTTATTTAGAGACCAAGAAATATTTCTGTATGGAAGTAGCCATTAAATATATAAGGTATATAAGCATCTGGTCTCTTAATTGGACTAACTCAGATACTTGTTTATACATCAGTCTTTCCTGAATTTAGTTAGTTTGGGCTTTTTTATCTTTCAAATTTGCTTTATGCATTAGGTTTCTGAAAAAGTTACTTTTAAAGAAGATATGTGAAGCTCAACATATACTAGTCCCAATTTTCAGACAGAAAGTCTGTTATCTTACATTTTAAGAATAAAATGCTTTAAAATTTTTTTTAAATAGGAAGCAATATAAAAAGAAGAGAGTTTTTGTTGTTTTTTACTAGAAAACTTACACACCTTGGATGAAGTGAACCATAGGCAGAGTTGTAGTGAATTGATATGTTTAAGAGCATAAATCATTTAAGAGTGGTGTGAACTTTGGCAAGTCACAAGTCATTTAACTTCTCTAGGCCAAAGTTTCCTCCTTTGTGAAATGATGGAATAGAATAGGTGATCCTCAAAACCATAATTTCAGTATTTTTATAACTTTAAAAAGGTTTCCTAAAGGATAATTCATCTACATGGCTTACTATCAATCTAAATGAATATCTCAAAACTGAACCTATAAATTTAGTTTTAAAAATGATCCCCTTGACTAATAATAGTTACTATTTATTGATTGCCTCTAGTGCAAGTAAGCATATATTTAGTCACCTCAACTACCCTGGAAGGTATGCATCATTATTTCAAATTTACAGATAAGGAAACTGAAGTTCAGAGAAGTTCCGCAACATGCCCAAATCCAAGCAGCTCCTAACATGTCAGTGGTGGAGCCTGATTCAAATCTAGATCTATCTGACTCCAAAAATTTGTACTCCTTACTATTGACCAATAGTCTGATTCCATAGGACCCTGTCCTTTGATTCTAGTACTTCCTGTATGAATTTTGTTGACTTTGTGAGAAACAAAACTATATTTTCCCTTTGGACTATCTGGAACCTATTTCAAATTTTTGAAATGTATCTGCCAAAAGACAAAGACTCCCAGGGGAATACACCCAGGATTAGAAATATTTAATTTAAGTCATAGCTGGAAAGAGAGAGAATCCTAGGCTAATGAGGAATGTACAAGCATAAATTGGCTTTCAATCTATTGGAAGACCTTTATTTATAGCTAGCAAAATACCAAACTGTACTTGTCCATGGACTTCTGAAGAAACAGGTTAAGTGAAGGAGAGTTCTTGGAAGCTTCATTTTGATGATACCATTCATTTGATGAAAGGTGTGAGACAGTTAAGGATTTAAATGATAATATTGGCCAGTGTGGTGGTCCCAGCTACTCTACTCAGGACACTGAAGTGGGAGGATGCCTTGAGCCCAGGAGTTTGAATCCAGCCTGGGAAACATGGGGAGACCCCATCTCTGAAAAAAAAACAAAAAACAAAACACAAAACACAAAAACAAAACCACCAAACACAAATAAATGGTAAAATTATCTAACAATAAACACATTTATATAATGGCTTTTAGAATTTTGAAAAATTACGGTGTTTCTCATTTTTCAAAAAGCTATATTGTCCCAGTGGACATTATTCTGGCCATGGAGTGATATGATATGTGACATTTATAATGATTTGTATTTTTTAAAGTTCATTGAGCTCCAAGTAATTATTAATACATTCGTTTATGTCAACGCATTCAAAATAAAATGTCATTGTAGCATGAAACTGTATTGTCTCATGTAATAACCATGATTCTTTTTGACAGGAGTGCTTTTTTGATGATGCAGAGAACATACCAGCAGTGACTACCTGGAACACTTACCTTCGATACATTACTGTCCACAAAAGCTTAATTTTTGTACTAATTTGGTGTTTAGTTATTTTTCTGGCTGAGGTAAGAATATTCTGTTATAAAATATCTCTTTGAGTTAATGTTAAAATCAAAATAGTTTGGAAGGATGTATACACATTAGTATACATATGTATGCATATCATTTTACAGTGTATAATAATAGAGTTCATATAGTTTTAGCATCTAAAAATCAATAATTGAAATCACTGTTATTTTATTACTTCATACATAGCACATAAAATATACTTTTATTTTTATTTCTAGTTATTTAAAGGGAGCAACTTTTAAAAAATATGAAGAGTATTTTGATAAATTTTAATAATTTTAAGAGATTAAAAAACTTAGAGTAGAAGACCTTTATTTAGATTGAAATCAAACACTGAAAATAATTCTGTACTTAATTTAAATTCATTTGACTATAGATATTTAATTATTAAATATATAAGTTATGACTATTTAAATATTTCCTTATAAAATGAGATAAATGTATATCAGTGGCTTAGGAATCATTTTAGATAAACCTTTCAGAAATTCAAGTCACCTATTTGCTTATAGAAATTTTGTTGTCTTCAATGTCACCACTGTGGTTTCTCTGCCACACTTCTGCTGTCCTTTACATCACCAAGTTAAAGAAAAGGGTGGCTGCAAATAGCACAGTGGGCTACAAGTTCAGTTCCTGATCAGCACAGGTGGTTCCTGAAGCTGGGCAGTGGGTGAGGCTTTCCTCTGGATCAGGAGCAGCCACATCCATGCCTACAGGGCCTGGCAGGGAGCATCGCTGGGTGCAGTGGCCAGCAGGCTGAATGGAGAGCATTTGCTCTCTAGTTGTCTAAAGGTGGCACCTGTCACTCAGCACCAGCCAGGGCCTTGGTATGAAGGAATTGGGATCATTCTGGCCAAATCTTTGTATTTATCAAGATAAGATAGAGATCCAGATTTTTCTGTAAATTTTTCTCATTTTAAAATATAGGTAATTAAGTAAAAATAAATGAACAAAAACTATGTGGGCACAACAAAACACATCTGTGGGTTGGATTCAGCCTGTGAATGATTACTGCATGTATTTATTCCAGAGGACACCCCAGTTATGTCCTAATATAAAACCAAATCTAACCTGAAGGCCCATGCTGCCTTCAGGGAAGAAATGACCCAGGCGAAGAACTGCCTGTCCTACGGAAGTATAAAGTGAAACCCAATAACTATACATTTTTCCTATTGTAAACTATTTCTAACCTCAATTAAGAAGGCTTTATAGGCCGGGTGCAGTGGCTCACGCCTGTAATCCTAGCACTCTGGGAGGCTGAGGCGGATGGATTGCTCGAGGTCAGGAGTTTGAAACCAGCCTGAGCAAGAGCGAGACCCCATCTCTACTATAAATAGAAAGAAATTAATTGGCCAACTAATATATATAGAAAAAATTGCCGGGCATGGTGGCGCATGCCTGTAGTCCCAGCTACTTGGAAGGCTGAGGCAGTAGGATTGCTTCCCAGGAGTTTGAGGTTGCTGTGAGCTAGGCTGACGCCACAGCACTCACTCTAGCCTGGGCAACAAAGTGAGACTCTGTCTCAAAAAAAAAAAAAAAAGGCTTTATAAAGTACCATCATTCTTCTGTGATCAAGAAATATAGTGTTAAATATCTAAAGGTATGTACCAAAAAGTTGTACATACTACTTCAATAAACTATTGTATTGGTTTCCATTTGATCTTTGAGTTTTAGTAGTATCTATTATTTGCCCTGATGCTATAAATTAACAAACCAAATGGAAGCCTGGTGCAAGATGCAGTATGTAGCATAGTGTCAACTCTGGAATCAGACTTCACTGGATGTGAGCTCTAACTCCGTGTTAATACTATTAAACTTAGCAAGTTTGTTAACCTCTCTACGTACTGGCTTCATGGGCATTTTGTGGTTAAAGAGCCATTGTGATTACAAAGCACTTAATGTAGGGCTTGGTGCATGGTGAGCAATGCTAATTGCTGTTATTAATATCTTTAATATCATGTCATTATTACAAAGCTTAAGATAGTTTGAGGTGAACGAGTCCATAACAGTGATATAGTGGAAAATTCAATGATTCCTTTTACTCTTTAACGAAAATGTGAGGTTGGGTAATTTGACACCCTTACATGAGTAATAAATATTGAATCGAAATGCATTTCAATTTTACCTCATTAATCTCTGCCAGTCTTGCCAAATAACCAACATTATTGTACATGAAGCCCAGCCTGTGCCTCATTTAATCTCACCCAGCCCTTTACAATTGTTAATAATTTGAATCTCATTGAAAGATTACATTACTTGATTGTCTTCAACTTATGTAAGAAAAAAGGGTCCTATCTGATTGTGGTAGTGATTTCTGTTAATTTATAGGATCTTTGTCTCATGCAGCTCCATAGAGTTGAACTTTTCTACCTTTCAAAAGGGTATATAATAAATAATTAACTGTTGAGCTGCTATACATGTGTACAATATTATTGACTCACTTAAGAGGAAGACAATAGTTCTTTAGGGCAAGAAACTAAATTACAGCAGAGGATGTAAATGCTGTATATTTACCCATTATTAGTTGAACTCTCACACACATTCCCCCAAAAATCATCTTTTTAAAGGATAAAATAGTTGATAATGCCATTTTCTGGGCAAGAAATAATAAAATAAATGATGAGCCTTTTGGGCCAATATCCTGTAGGCCTTGCCAATTAATTGACTCTTAAAATTATGAATAACAAAACTTGGTAATAGTAGAAAATAGTAATTTTTTAAATTATGTGCACAAATATGCAACTAAACAATTCATTCACTAGTGTTCACAATTCTATTGCTTTCTTTGAATCCAAATTTATTTAGTTTTTCTTTTAGACTAAGCTCCTCTTTTAATACCAGTGTGCCCATTTTTCATTACCATTAAAATATCTCATTGCTACTTCATATCATGGTACAGGTGTTAATCCAGGATGATGGTTTAGTTCTTTTAAGCCCTGTTTAGAACCTCATACTCATGATCAGAGAACCTAAAGAAAGATTAAGATTCATATATTTCTTGTGAAAATGATTTATTTATTTTTAGTTTTCATAAGGGTTGTATTTCAATTTAGATTTATATTTTTTATAGAGTAGGTTCAATATGCTTCCCTTTTGCAATATGAAATACTTAGTCATTTTAAAATTTCTTTAAAGTTGGTAAAAACTGAGTAAATTAGCTTATCTATTCACTTCATTAGCATTTACCATTAATATATCATTTTGAAAAGGGAGTCAGTCTACCTTTGTATTTTTGTACCATTTCTCATCACCCCATAGGGCATTATCTTCTGTAAGTTCTTGGATATTAGCACCAAGAAAATAAGAATAACGTTTCTGTGTTAGTTTCTAGTACTCCTGCTTGTCAGTGCACCATTGGTTAGATAGAGAAGAAATGCAAATAATAAAATTAGGAGGCAGTTTCCTGGTTCCTTTTAAAATAACCAGAGAGTATTATTGTTGATGGAGTATCCAAAGATCCTGTTTAATGCTTTCATTCTATGATTTTTAAGAATGTTTCAGAGAACTGTTGTATCCTATTTCTTTATGACTTCCATTCTGTTTGCTCATGAGGAATCCCTGAGTGGCTTTATATTATTAGTACACTGGAGATGTATATTCCGTAATACCACTACTGCTATTGACTGATAGTAATCCTTTTAGGACAGGTTTACTTAGCATGCAGAGGTCTATGTTTTAGGGCATGATTTGACTTGTGAAGCATTGAAATCTGTGTATTAAGTATGCTGTCTTCTATGTGCTATGGAATAGTGTTTAAAACCCCCAGAAAATGGAAAATAAAGATCTTTTAGTTTTCTCCCTTAATCATCTAGAACTGTTACTCTCCAATAAATTACATAAATTTTGTAACCTCAAAACATTCTGGAAACAAAATGCTGGAACTTGCTTACTCAATTGTTCCTATATGTTTCAAATATTTTTAGTGAAGTCATTACATCAAGTCCTTGAAAATGTTTTTGTTTTAGTCAACAAACCATGTGGATTGAGCCAGGAAATAACTTTATGTTTAAATGACTAGACCAGTTCTTTAGAAAACTGCTTTGGTTCCATTAGTGAATAGAAAAATAGAAAATAGAAAATATTCCACAGAAAAATATTTATTCCTGAGAATTACATTCAAAGAATGTCGACAATGTGAGCATTATTGACATTTGTTTAATTGGAGCAAAGGGGAAATATAATAACAAATAATGATAACCAAATAATCAGAGTGACTCAGAACATATACTCTTATCTAGGATCTTGAGTAATTTGATTAGTCTTAAGAAATAGTAAGACATTTATACTGTAAAGAAGACTTTTGAAATAGCTAGATTACTGCTTACTTTGTCATTTTGAATTTACTTGAATTTCTTTGAATTTCAAGAAAACAAGGATAAATTTTCTCTTCATTGATAACGTGTGTAGGGACTATGTGTATAATGAAGAAAAATAGTAAAGTGAGAATAATGCCATTAAATTTTTTATCATTATACTTCTATCTGATATATGAATTTAAAACTTAAACAGCTCTTTAAAGTATAGCACTTCCTAATGTAATTTCTTTATGAATCTTAATGCTCCCTGTAAGTTTTTATATAGTACTCTTAAATATGTAAGGTAAATTCAAGTATGGAATAAGACTTGTAGATATCTTATTCCAAGTATATTTGTTTCTCCTCTATGTACTTTTATTCTGTGTTCATTTCCAAAATCATTTTACTTGCAATTGCTTGTTTTTTCTATTTCATTTTCTGGTAAAGTCATAAATGGGCTAATTATATAATTTCAGAGTCATTTCTAATATTATAATCATGAGGGCATCAATTCAAGATTAAATTTCTCCTAAGGAGGATGGAATGCCAAATTGAAATAGAACAGAGCACAGAAGATTTAAATATTAAAAGGACTATAAAAATCACAGTTAAATTTTTTTCATTTAGTTATGGTATAGAATATTTCTCCCTTAGCCAAATATTTCCACCTTGAGAAAGCTCAAAGTCCTAAGTAATTCTGGTACCAGTGATGTCTGTTTTAACATAAATGTACCTTATATTTATTCGTAAACTGTGAGTTTTTATACTGTCGAAACTTTTAATTCATTTTAAAAATATTAATCTTACCTTTTTCAATAATTAATTGTCCTCAGAAGTGTTAGTCGCTCATAATCATTGAACAACAAATGAAATTATTTATAGCAACTAAATAGACTTGTTGTCTGCCAGAATGCTGAAATTAGTCCTTTTATAAAAGACACAGTTTATTATTTAATACATTTAGCTATAATCTCAGCTCTCCTGAGGCCCAGTGAATACTTCCTGTTGAACTAAGGAGAGAAATGGCAAAGTATTTACTTCAGTGAAATTTGAATTCCACTTACTTAATATGTTCTCACCACCAATAATGGTGCTTAGTACAATTATTATAGCTGCTAGACCTAGGAAAGCAAAGAGAAGGAAATAAAAATGTATGCACTTTGATGTTGGTCATGGTGAATTTAGAGGTGGATGTGGGAGAAATAGGTAAAGATGTTAGAGAAAAACCAACTGTGTGTTGTCCCATTCCAGGTGGCTGTTTCTTTGGTCCTGCTGTGGCTACTTGGAAAGTGAGTATTCTATGTTCTATTATGGATTATGTTTTCTTTCCACTGATTATTATTAAATATCATATCCACTGTGTTACATTTTACCATAGTGTTACAGTAGTGGAAAAACAAGTTATTTTGTTTAGGTAATGTGCATATGTAATTCCTGCATCTCTTTGTCAATTTCTAAACGATTTAGTTGCATTCAGTTTCCATGAAATACAATAAAAACATTTGAAACAACATTATATATTTAGTATTTTCTGTGTTTTAATCTAATAGAGGTCAATTTTATCTATTTCAATGGTGAGAAAATGAATACTTAATTTACTTTCTTGCAGTAGTAAGCTTTTGAGATTAAGGGCACAAACTCTGTTAATGTAATATATTGTGTTTCTTTTGACTCAAATTTAATTTCATTTACATATATTGGAAATTCAGTAGCCAAGTTGGGTTGCCAAATAACAATTTCCTTTTTGTTTTACAGCGCTCCTGCTTACAACAAAGGGAATAGTACTATAAGTGCAAATAGCAGCTATGCAGTGATTATCACCAGCACCAGCGCCTATTATGTGTTTTACATTTACGTGGGAGTAGCCGACACTTTGCTTGCTCTGGGCTTCTTCAGGGGTCTACCACTCGTGCATACTCTCATCACAGTGTCAAAAATTTTACACCACAAAATGTTACATTCTGTTCTTCAAGCACCTATGTCAACCCTCAACGCATTAAAAGCAGGTACTTGACTAGGTATACAAAATGAAACTGCTGATACACCATCAATAGGGCCTGTGGTTTAAAAGGTTTTCTAGCAGAGGTGCTGGCTTTTGCACAGAGGCATCTGCCTTCTTTTGAGCCTTCTTATGACTGGCATGTACCTCCCTCAGATATTATAGCTTATTATTATTATTGTTGCTCCTGATATTTCTATATTACCTAATTAGAGTAGCTCCATTTGTAAGAATATGATGTTGGTGGGACTGAAGCAGCGCAAACAGGCCCTTGTGGCTTATTTGTACTTCCCTTTTCAGATATTTGGTCTAGCCTTCTTGTAGGCATCTTGTTGCCAATGTGTAATATTGTTCAAAAGAGAAGGAGATCTGAAGTGATCAAGGAAAATATAAAATTCATCTAAAGCCGTTTTATGGGGTAGAATAATTTAGTTTAATGTTAACTGTTCAAAGTTACATTGGGGGGATCCCAAATGTATTTTAAAACTAATTTTGATGCCATTTTATTTGAAGTCACAGAAAGTAACAATAGTGGAGTTGCTAAAATATTTTTAAAGTAAGACTAATGAGGTACTTTGAAATTAATCAATTCCATTGATTCTATGTTGGAGAAATTAACCTTTGACTCTGAGGTTATGAGGTTAATAAGGATTCCCCCAAGGTTTTTTGGTTTTTTTTTACAGCAATCCATTGAGCGCTTACTCTGTGAGGGAGAGGTATATAAAGATGAATAAGGCAGAGTTTTTGCCCTTGAGGAGAGGAAGTGAACAGAGAAATGTTTGATTATAAAGCAAAGAATAAGTTCCAAGATTGAGATTTTTAGAGTAATTTGTATCTTAAAAGTATCTCAAAATAAGAAATACCCATCATTTTTTCTGGGTAATAAATTTATTCTGATGCCCTTATGTGTTGCTAAAGTCTTGCCTCATTTAAGTATACTCATCGCTATTCTCTGTTTTACAGTTTTATTTTTATTTGTTTTTACTTTTAAAAATATTTTGTAGAGATGGGGGTCTCACTGTGTTGTTCAGGCTTGTCTGTAACTTCTGGCCTCAAGTGATCCTCCCACCTCGGTCTGCCTAGTGCTGGGATTACAGGTGTGAGCCACTGCACCTGGCCTACCCTCTGTATTAAATAAGAATTTTACATATAAGGTGATGTCCAATTAACCTGATTCAATGATTTCAGTTTTTATGGAAATCTGAGACCCAGAAAAGGCAGGGGATTTGTCTGAGTTTCTGGCGGAGTCAGAAATGGGCCATGAGATACAGTGGAAAGAATTTGAGCGTTGCTTGAAAACTGGTTTGGCTTCATAAGAGCAGTGATCTCGGGCAAGTGACTCTTCTGAGCTTTGGCCTCCTCACTTGTAAAGTAGGGAAAAGCAAAATTATCTCAGAGGACCTTTGTGGGAATGAAGCAAGGCAATTTACTGGCTTGTTACATAGCCAGCATGAAGTAAATATTAGTCCCCCACTGTCATTCCAATCTGTGGGGTGTTGCTACCACAGGGGGTGCACTTGCCATTCCACCCGTGTACTTTTCTGAGCTCCTCATTTCCTTAAACCCTGGTCATGGTTGGTTCTGAACCAAACCTTCTTTCTTTCATGTTTAAATGATCACTGTTCATTTCATTTTTTTACTTTGTTTTACATGCCAAATGTTCATCCACTTTGTAGGATGATTCTTAGACATCTCTATGTTTTTGTATTCTTCCTTATTTATGTTCCTGTGAACTCAAATAGTGAGATAATCTTATCACATCTGTATGTTCTTTCCCCCCCCACCATCATTTCTATATGCAAGGATTATGCTTTCTTTTCGAAACTGTTACCAATTCATAGTTCATTTATTCTCACTGTTTCCTAGATAGTCTCTGCTATATTTGGCAGCAGCTGATGCTTCCTTGCCTTCTATGTGCACTTGTAACCTGTCCCAGGTGTGCCATTCTGCAATTGTACATTGACCTTGATTTTTTCTATTTGTCTGAGTTTACTATGTCACTTTAAAATGATCTTCAAGTGACACAGACACATAATAGGTGCTCAGCAAAGTATATTGGATGGATAAAAGTGTAAACGTGTATTTTGACAGAACACTACCATTGGAAATAAGCACCACAATGATTTTTTCCCACCAAAGCAAACTCTCATTTTCTAAACACTATTTATAAATACCATATGCTAATTTTTTTGATTTAGGAAAACACATAAAAATATGTTTAATTAACTATGCTAAAGAACATTTTATCAATAAATGATTTCCTACATATTAGGCTTTTTGCTTGGGGCTATAGGTGAAACAAAGCAAACGTGGCATGATCTCATTAACCTCTAGCAATTTACAATACAGAAAAAGAGATAGGACATGTGGATAAGTGACTACAATATAAGACATGCATGTAGTCATTATAACACAGAGGTACAAACAAGATGTATTAAATGTGTCCAGAGGAGGAAGAGATTAATTCCAGCTGGAGCAAACACTGATGCTTCCTTGCATGAGGGGGATTTGAGTTGGGAAAGGAAGGACACATAGATTTTGACAGCATAGATGAGGGAAAAGGGTTTTCAGTAAATGGGAACCACATGGGGAAGGCAGGGAGGTAGGAAAGTGCAGAATGTGTTTAAAAAATAGAGGGGATGGCTGAAATAGGATATTTGAGTTGAGGGAGCTTGTACTAGCTAGGTGGTTTAAGGCCACATTATGGAAGGCATTAAATATTAAACTAGGAATTTTGGACTTTATCCTGAAGTTAGTAGGGGGTGAATGATAAGATTCAATATCACTTTGTACAGAATTATGTTACATTTTATCTAATTGTATGTTTAACTCCTCTCTAGACAATGAATTCCTATGGGCAAGGAGCATGGCTTATTCACCCCTGCTATCTCAGTGCCTAGCATTGTGCCTGGCACATAGTAGACATTCTGTATATAACTTTTTCATTGAAGCAACAAACTATCAGACTTATAAATGTGAGTCTGGAATTTAGAGGATAGGCTTTAGATTGTAAGTGAAGAAGATAGAAAGAGAATATGGTAAAGGAAGTCTACGTAGTGGGCAGGCAGGCATTCTGCAGAGGTAGTAGTAGGATGAGTATTCATTCTTGACACAATTTATAATAAGGGCTCTATTGTGGATATTAGTTTTTTGTTTGAATCTTATGGGAATCTGTATTTTATAAAAGTTTAAAGGTAGGAGACAATAAATTAAACATATAGTTACTCAATCTTTAGACAGAACTAAAATATTCTAAATCCTTATTTATCTGATTGTATGCTAATTCTTATTTGAATTCTGAATGCTTCTTTGATCCAAATTTAGTATTGAATATATTGATAAGACTTTTTAAAATTACTAGGTCTTGAGAAATGTATCTTCTTTTATATTATAGGTGGGATTCTTAATAGATTCTCCAAAGATATAGCAATCTTGGATGATCTTCTGCCTCTTACCATATTTGACTTCATCCAGGTTTGTAAAAATAACTATTATTAAGTATCTTTGCATTTTTATATATTTTTAAATAATTACAAAAAGAAGGAGATGAGGTTTTTTTTCATTTTTCCTTTGATTGAGAGTTCAGGTCCTGTCTATTATATAAATTTTGTCAATATCCAAAGTTTTCAAAATAGGCATAGATTTAGTAAATTTAGTAATAAGTCAGAAACTGTTTATATCCCCCAAACCTGAGGCAATCCCACATTTAAATATAATAACAAGTATCTACTTGGGAGTTATTTGAGAGGCACTAAACACCATCTTCCCCCAACTCACTGGCCAAAAACTGATATCGGCATCACTATTTGATGGAAACCTACTTACCTCCAAAAGGTCCACATTAAAATGAAGATGGATTCCCTGGGCGGGTTACACTTGAAACCAGCCTCACCCATGAAGACTCTGGCACAGATTAGTTAGCCAGTTCCCCCACAGTAAGGCCCATAATGAAGGGACACAAGTAAAGACATCTTTTTGCATAGGTGAGAGGGGAAAGAAAAATTCAGGGTTATATGAGAGCTACCCCTGAGTGATGGATGTGAATAAGCCTGTAGGGCAGCCTGGCTGTGAGGTGACTCTCTGCAGTAGGGTGACTGACTGGTGGTGACAGACAGTGGGGAAGGAAAATGGTGGGGGAGCGGAGGGTGGGGATGAAAGTGACCTTCAGGATAGGCATTAGGATTCCATGAATGACAGGACTTAAGGAGTGTTATGAGTTGCTAACCTTGACTGTTGGACTACGTTTAAGCACAGCTTCCTGAGCTTCCTGTCTGGTTCAGGTTGACCTCCAGAGAGCAAATGCCACAGTCTTAATGATCTTTTTGGAGAAACAGTTGAAATGAGTCATTCTCCCCTCATGTTCTTTCCCTACTCCTGCAAGATAATAATAATGTATTTCATAGACCTTACAAAGCAAAATGAGGACTACCACATGTGTGTATACACAACTAACATTGGCAGGTGCAGAAAAACCAGACTGTCAGTTTGTCCCTTCTGAAATGATTGACACAATCAAATATATTTATTGTTCCAAGTGAACTTTAGCATTTTGGGTTTTCTTCAGTTGTTCTGTTTAAAGATATAATTTAGCAACAGCTGCTGGAATTTTTTAATTCATGGTTTGAGTTCATGCATTCAAAGGAGCATTTCCTATGTTGTTATTTAAATGCTAGACATTTGTTTCTCATTCTAGGAGTGTAAATGACCAATCCCAAAGATAATATTAAATTAGGTAAAAAAAAAAAAAAAAAACTGGACCATGGACATCCTGACCTGCCATAAATGGTGCCCCTTGATAATTATTTTTCTACTTTTGTGGTCTGCTGAGTATCTTCTGAAGTTTGAGGCTTACTTCAGAAATTCTCTGGAAGAGTTAATTTTTAAATATGTATTTTATAAATTAAAATTTTTTGACATGTGCTGGTTGTCAAATCTTTTATGCCAATTTGAATCATTTCTGCTCAACTTTTAATGCTTTTAAGGTTCATTTGCAGTTGCTTCATGAGTGATTTGGCAGAGCTCTTTTATCTATTTTATTTGTGATATAAGAGGGTCTCACATTAAGGAAGCATAATATATGACAATCCAAACACGGTAAAAAAAATCTGATTAGTTTTGACTCTGCTAAGTAATTCATCATAGAGGTCCTTGAAATTGTGAGCTCCTCTGGTTATATATTTAATTATGTTTAGACAAATAAAATTACATTTATTCACAATGTTTCAGGAATCTATTGACCAAAATGAAGCATACCTATAAATTTTCTGTTTTTTTAAAAAAAACTTAATTTCTCTTTATTTTATAACTTTATTAATGCTCTGACAAATTTACTTTCTGGATTGGAACCTCATATACTGAAAATGGAAGATCTGGGTTCTGTTATGCATATCCCACTATTTTCCCTTGAGCAGACATTTAATCCCAAAGGGTGTCAGGTTTGTCACTTGTAGTAAGGGGAAGATAAACCTGATAATGGTCCCTTTCAGTTCTAAAGTTATATGGTTCAGATTGGCACACTAGAATTGGACCGGCCATACACGACAAATTTGTACTTGAAGGCAAACAGAGAAAAACTATATCCTAGCATCTTTCTTATCTTTATGGCTGGGTGAATGATTTTTTTCTTATGAAACAGAAGTGTACATATTCTAAAATACGAAAACCTCAAGGCCTTTTTTTATTTCTTCTTTCTTATCCCAGTAAATAGTTACATACTGAATCTTCCTACTTTGATCTCTACAATGTGTCTTTTATACCTTCCCCCCTCCACTGCCCCTATTCATCCTATTAATCTCATTAATCTCTTGCTTAAACCTTTGTAAGAGATTGCAATTTATAAATTAAATTCCAACTCTGGTGCTCACTACATGGCTTTAAATAGGCTTTTTTTTTTAAACCTATTTCAAAGTGACCCTTCATTATTATCAGTTGTTCCTGTTTGACAGGTAGCTCTGTGTGACCTTCGGTGTCAGGAATGCTTCTGAACTGCTTTGTGGGGTAAAAATCTGCTTCCCACTTCCTAGAAGCATGAGTGTGTGGTACTTTGCAAGTTTTCATATTTTGTTGATTTTTTTTTTCTGAGGAAATTTAGGATTTGGGTAAGGGTGAATAGGAATTAGAAATCTATGTTCATATTTCATCTTGTCTTGAAGTTCCTCTAGTTAGTTAGTTAGTTAGTTGTCCTTTTAGCAATATACCTGATCTGAAATGACTTCTGTCTAATCCTTTGTGAATTAAAAAGTAGGATAGAATTTAAGGTTTCTTCATATACAAATATTTGAAAGTGTGCCTTTAATTTTGCACATAGTGCTAAATTATTAGGCTGTGACCTCAGTCACTAAAGAAGGCCTCTTGTGAAGCAAAGGGAGTTATCTTTCCCAAGGCTGAGGCTTATTTTTCACTTATTTTTCGGGTTGGACTATACTCCAGGTGATGGTAGATGTTGGAAATCTGACTACCTTGTGAATGATCTATCACTTTCAAATGTATCCATCTTCTTTATTCTTCTCTAACCCTTTGTTGTATCTTGGTCAGGTGACTACCCAATCCAACTTATTTTATCAGAGTATAGTTACAGTTTCATTACTAAGATTCTCTACCATATGAGCAATCATTTAAAAAGAAACAATGTTTTTAATAGAAAATGAGTTAAAGACTAGAGTGTGTTTTATACCTACATGGTCAACTTTCCCACCTAACTTTTAATGAAAACAGCACTAAATTGGAATTATATGGTAAAATAGTACAAGTTAAAATCAATGCAGTGCCATTTACAATGGTCAAAGCAAATAAAAGGCCCTGATCCTAATGGAGTAGATGAATGTTTCTAAATTACCAGTGCCATGGCAGTTGTCTTTCGGGCATACTAGTATTTCATGTGATAGCCCATTTAAATTAAATTATATTCCCTAGTTAATCACACATGGAACTTATTTTTTCTTTCTTTTTTTCCCCCAAGAGATCATATTTCTAAGAAATAATAATAATTGACCTAGGTTAAAAAAACACATAGTTGCCATCAATGAAGCATCTTGTCATGTAGTAACTAAAGCACTTGGGGCTTTCTCGTTATACTGGTGGCACTTGTAGGACAAGAATGGAATAGGGAAGACTTTTCTTAGATTATTAAGCCATCATGTACCTAGTCTAATATCTGGCACAGTACAGATTCATCCCAATGCTTGTTGAATGAGGGACTGGTATTCCAGAATTTGATGATTGGAGACATAGAGGCATTTTGTCTTAGAAAAGTGTTCCTGAGGTAGGATCATCTGAAGTTTTAGATGGAAATAATAAGCCAAAGATTTACACACACCTGAGCTACATGCCCATCCCCACCTCCATCTACGAAAATATTATGTGTTCCACCTCATCAATTGAAAATGTGTATGTCACCCATGGAAACTGGTAAAGAAATGGCTCACTGTGTAATATATGGATGTTATAAAATGTTTATATTTTTACCCTTTCTGCTGATGGTTACTTTATTTATACTTTATTCAAATGAGCTAATATGAAGTAAATGTTAGCAGATTTCTTAACTTTTTAAAATGTATGTACTGGTGTCATGTAAAAATATAAAATTTAAGCCTTTCACTTGGTCCTGAAGAACACCAATCTGAGCTTATTTCTGAGACTGCCGACAGGGGTCTACATGTGGTGGATGATGTGAAGAGATATCTGTAGGATGAGCTTTGATTGAAGTACAAATTCATTCTGAGAATATATGAGATAAAAAAAATTTCTCTCATTTCAAATTAAATTGTCTATCCCCATAAATCATTTTTTGAGCCTGTAGGAAATCTCCAGTATTTCAAAGAACAAGAACAGAAGAGTTAGAGAGGGAATTAAAATTAAGTATAATTTCTTTCAATCTTAAGCATGAGAAAACTAGGCTCAGAGGGATTATTAGATAGCTTGCCTAATGATGAAGCCAATATTTAACCCAGATCTTTCTGACTCAGAAGAATCCACGATGAATGCCTGATTTTCAAAAATTGTCTAAACATAATAAATCCTAAAATTCACATTTACACTAAAATTATTTTAAAATAGCTTATTTTTAAATTCATATTCTTTTAAAAATTATTTATTATACAATAGTTTAAAGTGTCTGGGAAATGAGAATATCTTGAGATCAAAGAACACCATGTTTGCAAAAGTTCAAAAATGTTATTACAGATGACCTAAACAATTTTCCGAGTTTTTTCTATGAAAAATGTACCTTGGAATGACTGCCTTCTCAATAGGAAGGCAACTGTTCCTTACTAACAACAGAACAGAGCGGGAAGAGCTTATTTAGAAACAAATCAATGACACACTTTGTCTATTTTGCAGTGGGAAAGCATTTGCTCACCAACGTGTTTTCTTTGATCCTACAGTTGTTATTAATTGTGATTGGAGCTGTAGCAGTTGTCTCAGTTTTACAGCCCTACATCTTCCTTGCAACAGTGCCAGTGATAGTGACTTTTATTATATTGAGGGCATACTTCCTCCATACCTCACAGCAACTCAAACAACTGGAATCTGAAGGTATGGTATTGCATGTGCAATAGCCGCCTTGGAATAAAAGCCACAAGAGCTATTTAGGATTCTCTATTGTTAATCTAGTTTTCCAAATATTCTTTCACCCTGCTTTTAAACCCTCACATCATATACCAATAATTTTTTAAAATGTATATGTATATAAAAGGAAAACTACATTGTAAAGTACACATGGATTGTTTTTCTTAATTAATGACCAGATGACTTCATTTTGGTTTTAAAATATGTGTATAGAGTCTTACCTGGGTTGGTGTATAGGACATTCATTCATAATTTACTTATATCAATCAAATTAAAAAATGATAGTGCTGCTATTACTAAATGTTTCTCTGGCTTCCAAAATGATACTAGACAAAATGATTCCCTTTGGCTTGTTGTCTTCAGACACCCAAACTCTATGTGAGCTGTTTGGGAAGTATATTTTCCAGCAATAGCCTTGGTATGGACATGTTTTCAGAGGATATGTTTCTAGTCCATTTCTACTTTAGAAGTTATTAGCTAAATTAAGTCACATAAACTTTCTTAATTGAGACACTTGAAAAACTTGTCTTAAAAGAAAATTTTTTTTCAGCATCGATTAATTTAAGATTAGCCAGAAAAAAGATTCTCAGTTGTAGCAAAGAAATATAAGCAAATAATGGTAGTGATTTTATAAGTTCCCATCCATGATAGTCAAGTAAAAAAGGAGGGTAACTTATTTTAAATATATATATACATATATATCATATCACGTCTATTCAAAGTATGGTACCAGAGTGAAAAAACCTTTTTAACCAATGACATTTGTGGTCAAAAAAACCTTTTGACCAATGATTATGTTAGTCTTTTTCAGGTACATCTTAGTATGAAAATATATTCTGTGTTTGTGTGATTTGCATTGTTTTCTATGGGATTATTTCACAGGCAGGAGTCCAATTTTTACTCATCTTGTTACAAGTTTAAAAGGACTATGGACACTTCGTGCCTTTGGACGGCAGCCTTACTTTGAAACTCTTTTCCACAAAGCTCTAAATTTACATACTGCCAACTGGTTCTTGTACCTATCAACACTGCGCTGGTTCCAAATGAGAATAGAAATGGTTTTTGTCATCTTCTTCATTGTTGTTACCTTCATTTCCATTTTAACAACAGGTACTATGCTCATTAACTATTTAGCTAAGCATTTAAGTCAAAACATTGTTAATGGATGTGAGCGTTTATTGCTGTTAGTTTTCCTTTCAGATATGCTTTTGCTATATCCCACAGGTTTTGGTAAGATGTGGCTCCATTGTTGTTTTGTTCGAAGAAATTCTTGATTTCCTTCTGAATTTTTTCCTTGACCCAATAGTTATTCAACAGTAGATTGTTTAGTTTCCATGACTTAGTGATATGGTGTGTATTTCTGTTAGAATTAAACTCTAATTTGGGGGCTCTGGATAAATCTTACCTATTTAAAGTAAAATATTTAATACTAAAAGCAGATATGTTCTGTGTATGGTATGCCTTCTGTTAGAAGAATTATAGAAAAAAAAATTTCAATTAATATTAAGATGAATTATTTCTCCTAAGTTTAGAACTTTATGATAATTTTATAATGCCTTATATGTATAAGAACTCTCAATTGAGACTTGATAACCTAAATTTATAATAATTTAAGTTAAAAATATTCCTCTGAGAATATTTTTATGGTGGGGTAAAATAGAAAAAAATTGTTATGGCCATAATACTGAATATTTATAATTTTTAATTAATGGCCCTCTCTACTCCTAAAAAACCATTTACTCTAATTAAACACTTAGATATTGTTCTTCTCAGGTGAACTAATCTTTTTCTTTCCAACATAATAGGCAGTCTTTCCTCTTTCCAAATGGCAGACCCATTAGTTTTCTGACTATCCCATGAAGCTTTAAGCCCACTTTCTTCCCAAACAACATCTGATTAGCAGAGAAAGTCCTCTTTGCAAAAGCATGAAGCACATCTAAATATCTTGCAGATACTATTCAAACACACCCTTTCCCTGGTCCCCCTGGTCATGACTTCTTTGTAGATGAGCTCATCTGGAAACAAGACTATTTCTTTCCATTGCCCATTCTAGTGTCTGTTACTCTTATTACTTGCAGCATAGTAGTAGAAGAGACAAACATGGTATCTACCCAATACCAACAACCACTCAAATACCTGTGACATTTTTAAAAAGGGCAAGTCTTTCCTAATACTCAATCACTTTTTGATTTAAAACATTGATTGAATGCTTACTGTATGCTTGGCATTATTGCTACTTAGTAGATGCTGTGGTGAACTGAGATTTGAAAAAAATGGCTAAAATAAGCATAAAATTGAAATGTAAATTTAATGCTCTATGTGCCATAGGAGAGGTATGAATAAAGTAGTTGACAGAAGAGAGAAATAACAGTAGGTTTGTTTATATCTTTTTTGTACCTATAGGTGAAGGAGAAGGACAAGTTGGTATTATTCTAACTTTAGCCATGAATATCATGGGCACATTGCAGTGGGCTGTAAACTCCAGCATAGATGTGGATAGTTTGGTAAGTCATTATCATTTTTTAAATGTTTATGAAAAAATTCAGACAAACCAAAAAGCATAGGTAATAACATAAGGAATAACTATTAATATATATCCAATACTGAGCTTAAAAAAGTAAAACCTTATAGGGAAATTGAGGGCCACTATGTATCTCTCATTAAACTCTTATCTCTTCTTTCTTCCATATGGATAGCCACTATGAAGATCTAATGCTGCAGTGTACATTCTTGCATCTGTTTCCTTGTTCAGGATTTTTCTAGGATAGATACTTAGAAATGGTGTTGCTGGGTCATAGAATTCACCTCGGCTTACCTTTACTAGATGGTGCCAAATTGCTCTCAAATCTGTTGTACCAATGTGTACTCCCATCGAAAAGAGTATGAGAGTTCTTACAGCTGTGTAACTCCAGCAACACTTGGCATTGTCAGGCTTTTAAATTTTGGCAATCTGATGGATGTGAAGTGGTTATTTAAAATGTAGGGCAGCTTACTACATATTTATTGGCCATTTGGATTTTTTTCTTATGTTAATTTCCTGTTCATGCCACTTGCTCATTTTTCAATGAGACTCTTTTTTTTCCCCATAATTGATTTGCAGGATTTTATGAATTCTGGATCAATAGTAAGTTCTGTACATTCAAACATAATTTCTCAGTCAGTGGCTTGGCTTATACAGTCTTTTGATGAAGAGAAACTTTTAGGTTTAATAAAGTTAAATTTATTAATCTTTTTCTTTATATTTTGTGCATTTGGTATCTTAAGAAATCCTTCCCTATCTTGGGTCTTCAAATTTAGCAGCATAATACTTTTCATTATATTCTTTTCTTATTTTTTAAATTTCCAGTCTTTAGTGATAGCTCCTTTCTTATTCCTAAGGTGTTTGTCATTGCCTTCTCTCTTTTTGTTTAATCAATGTTACCACCATTTGTATACTTTATTAATGTGTACAAGAACCATATTTTAGTTATATTGTTTCTCTTGTCATGGGTCCCTAGAATGCAGATCCTGTAGTCATGTTTATGTGCTAACACTGCAGCAAGGGCACAAATCCTATTGCTGCAAGAGTGAAAGATAAAAGAAAGTGATGCAGATTTTCTCATTTTCATTAAAAAAAATCAGAAGCATAATTTTCAATCAGACTTTTAGGTTGGTCTGAAGAGCTTTGTAATTGACTTCTTATATTCTTTTTAGAGTACTGTGTTTAAAATCATTCATTCATCACTGCATTTGTGGAGAGCCTAGCAACCTAATTTAAGAATGACTATACAACACTATTATTATTACACTTTTTGCTTAGGTTATTTTCCTCATTCTCTGACAGATCACGTGTTCTCAAACCACACATGTTCATAAATAACATATGAAATATGCTATAAAATAACATAAAATAAAATATGTATAAAATATACATATTTTATAATGTATATTTAAAATATACATTATAAAATATGTATAATCAATTCCTGTCAGAACAAATTACTATTAAAATGTCTCTGGGAAAATAAAACCTTTTCATGCCCACTCTTGCCCATGTGTCTTAATATTTTTTAAGGCATTTTAATAATCCATTGAATTGCAGTTCAACCTGACCATAATTTATGGCAAATTCGGTTTCTTTCCTTTGACATTATTAGTATTTTAGTTTGACCAACTGTGTTTAGATTTTTCCATCTTCTCCTCACCTAGTCTATTCCAGTATACTTTTGGAGTTGAGTTTCATAAATGTCTATAAAAATGTTTCTGTTGAAAGTAGCAGGAAAATATTAAATAAATATTATGCTTGTATTTATTTAATTGTTTGCTCAACTTTCTACAACTTTGACTTTACATTTAAAATCCTTAGGTACTTTACCCATTTCTTTACCTAAAAATATCTCTTTACCTTGGATTTGGATATGTACAATTTCTTTCCCTTTGCTGTATTATTTTTCTTGGTTTATATAATAGCCTCTGCACATTGGTGTTAAAATCTTTGTTTGGTGCATTTCTATTCTGCATGTTTAATCTCCATAAAAATTTCTGTATTTTATTTTCATTTATCTGGTTTTTTACGTGCACATCCTGGGCTTTGTGACCTGTGCTTTGACATTGTGTCTTTCATCTCATGGAGTAAAATGATCTTTGCAAGGACCTATTATGTTATAATACAGTCTATGAAAAGTATCAATATTTGTACTTGATCACATTTTAAAAAGTCATATTCTTTTGTTTAAATATCAAAGTGAATATGTGAGTTTTCATTTCCCTGCCAACTAGCACCAGTGGCCTTTCCTGGGTATTTGTGGACATTTATCTAGTTATTAATTCTCATCATTCTGCTGTCACCCATGCAGTTGCTAAAGTTATGCAATAACCTGTTTATTTTCACTTTGGCATATGTTGAGAGTAGGAGGGGAGATAGATATAGCTATGCCCTCAAGTTTTATGTTTATATGATGTTAACTCTGACGGTCCTTGTGACCTCTGAAGTAAAGACTCGATGTACTATCATTTTACTTTACTGAGTTGTTAGCTGAATTTAGAACTGAGTTTATAATGGTGTAAAGAGGGTATTTTATTTGACACACACTTTTAGTTTTACAGTACAGGGCTCCTCAGAAAAAAGATCTTTAGACTTGGAAAGACTATTTTATTTACTTGTCTTGCCTAGTTTAGACAAGGACACAGAGGCAAAGGTCTAAAGAACTCTGAAATTATAGAAGTGGCAGGGTGGCTATTCCTCTTTACCTTCCGCCTCTTGCTTACAACTGTGTGCCTAGCTTTCTTTAGCTTTCAACTAATAAAGGTAACATTTGGATGATAAAACTTAAATGCTACCTTGAGTTACTTTGTATTTCTGATCACACATCTCAAATATCAGCACTCAAAACTGTCCAACAAGCCTTTTATAATACTTTCCTAATAAAATCTGTATTTTATTCCCTAAAATAGCTCTTTCTCACTTTCTCATTTCTTCTTAGATACTCCAATAATCCCACCCCCTGCACTTTGAGCCAGTGACCTTGCTATATATTTCATTAAAAAAAAATTGATGCGACTAGAAAGAATCCCATCATTTCTCTCTACTAGTTGCACCAATCTACTTCACCTCTCCTCATATGCTCCTCCTTCCCCTATGTGTCCTTGCTACCATATTTAGGCCAGTAATATGCAGTTACCTTCCTCTTTGTGGGAACTTTCTCAGTAGCATGAGAATAACCTCTTGATCATCCCCAGCTACCACCTCGTTTCTTTGACCTATTTACAGCAAAACTTTCTGAGAGAGTATCACTTTTCCTCCTCCCATTCTTTCCATAGCCTACTTCATTTCATTTCCATCACCCCCCTAAGACTCATGACCAACATCTTGCCAAAGCCAGTGTCCTTGTCTTCTTCAACTACTTAGCAGTTTTATGTGATAGACAAATCCTTCTTCTTGTGATACTTTCCATCTTGTGATCCTACACTACTCCCATCTCATTTTTCTGCTACCTCTCTGGATCATTTTTAGTCCTCTTTTTTGCCACCTCCTCTCTTGCAGATCTCTAAACACCAGCTATATTACAGCCCTCTTCTATCAACACTCTTGAGCAGCTGTTATCTAACCCCAGGCTTTAGGAACCATGTCGTGATGAATCATAAATTCATATCTCTAGTTTCGATGTCCTGCTATCTAAATACATAGCCAACTACCATCTTGACAGTTGCTATGTTTATGAAACACAGTGATAGAATGTCCTGCAGTAGACTTGACATTTTAGGGCATAAGTTCCTATTCAGTATTGCCTCAAAATACTCCTGGGATCTCAAGAGACCATTAAAATAGGACAAACCTATTCTACATACTGATATGCCTGGCCTTCTGTAGCACTTTGGGAAAAAAGTCATCTGAACATTGTCACCTTACAAATAATATAGTTAACAGGTTATGAATCACCCCAGAGACTTAAAAAATAGTAAAATTATCAGAGTCTAATTTAATAATTCCCATTGGAAAACACTATGTTAGGGGGGTTCCAAGTATTTTAATTGATATCTCAATGTTTTAAAAACTGTTATTTCTAATTCACTCTTTATTTTAACATAAATTGTGTCTCTCTATTCCTTTCAATTATATTTCTCATGCCATTCTATACACGGGGTGAAAAGAGAGGTGTTAATTTCTTTTAACTCCATACTTCAAGTACCACATGCATTTATCGTTGTTATTGCTAAAGGTATTATCTGATATTTTTTGCCTCCTTAATTAACAAAGCTATGTATTCGTTTATTTTGTTTGGAGTCACAAGATGCCTTCCATTTTTAGTACCATGAAGCTCCCGTTTCTCCTATTCTCAGCTACTTAAGCATTATGTAACTTAAATGGGCAATGGACACCTAGGTATCTGCCTCTATGAACAAGAGTAATTAAATAAACAAGCTAGAAAGGATGACAAAATGATGCTTCAAACTATATCAAGCCATCTGGGGACAGATAAACTGCTCCCATTCACATTGTTTTGTATATTTGAATGAGGCAGTTGACAATTCATGTCTTCAGGACTATCTACCACATAGTGAGCATAACTAAAAGATGCATGTGAATACTATCCTGCTTCTTTAAAGCTCCAAGTGAAGCAGCAGATACACCATCCCTGTTTCCATTAGATGTCTACCCTGTTGAACCGTGTGCTCCTAATAACATAAAAGGAAGGAAGCCACCAGGGTGAGTGGGGAAGGCAATGAACCTGCAGGGCTCACATTTAGATCCCTGTTAATGAGGCTCCAGAAAGTTCTTGCAAGATTGATGCAATCTGAGAAGAGTTTTCTGTCAATAGAAACTCCCTCTGTTTTTCCTTTGTCCTTTTATTGCCTGTGTTTATTTTGGGTTCCAGTAAAGATCAAATGACTGATTGTACAGTGACCAACAAGAAACCTCATAGGAAGAGAAAAGAGGAATCTGGCTTTTTTTCATTGCTCCTGATGCCTCATTTTCTTGAATTGGATGTAGGTTCTGCTGTAAGAATCTGAGGGTAGGAGTCAT